GGCCCGAGGGGGTGGGAGAGGGTCCGGCCCATGCTGCGCCTGGGCTGGGACTGGTCCTGCCGGCGCCTCCAGGCCAGAAGAGCCCACCACTGTTCTCTTCTAATCCCTCAGGCCCTTCTCCCACTGCCCAGGCCACCTTTGAAAAATGTGAATCAGGTTACATAGCTTCCTTGCTTAAAATCCTCTTGCCCATGGCTTCTCATATTTCTTTTCACAGCCCAGGAGGCCCCACAAGAGCCGGCCTGTGTTTACCCAGCTGGCTTAATATCTTTTTGTTGTTGTTGTTAAGTTTCCTAGTGCAATTCAGACATACACAATGATCACATTCATCACTGGGAATTTGTTCCTGTACAGGGTATATATTGAGTCCTATTTTTTTCCATTCCCTTTCTCTCCTTACATCCCCTTTCCCCTCTTTATTTACAAAGCTATGTTTCCATTTTATCTTTCTTTCCTCATTTTTTCTTTTCCTTTCTTTCTCCAGCCCCTCCCCACTTCCCCTTTACTTTTGAACAATATTTCCTATTTCACAATACCCTTTTATATATTTTGGTTCTTATTTACACTTTCAGTTTCTCACGCCAGTGAGACAATGTAGTACTTACACATGTGTGTCCAATTTATTTCACTTGAGTATAGTCTCAAGGTCCATGCGTTTAGCTGTAAATTTCTCCAGTTTGTTCTTCATTATGGCAGAATAATACTCCATTGTGCATAATTTATTTTTACCCATTCATTGATTAATGGGCATTTGAGTTGTTTCCAAAATTTAGCTACTCCTAACTGTGTTGCTACAAACATGCATGCATATGTATATCTATGGTATGATGCTTTTAATTCTTTTGAGAACATGCCAAGAAAGGGAATAGCCAGGTTAAACGGGATCTCTAATACTAGATTTTTGAGGAATCTCCACACTTATTTCTATAGTGGTTGCACCAGTCTGGACTCCCTCTAAGAATAGAGAAACCTCTGCCTAACCCTATGTCTTAAAGATTTCCACCTACTTTCTCTTCCATTAGATTTAGTGTTTCTGTTTTAATGTTTAGATCTTGAATCCATTTGGAATTTAGTTTAGTGCACGGTGATAGTGCATTTACTTCTTGGCACACTG